CAAGCACTTGGGCCATCTTCCACTGCTTTCCCAAGCCACAACAGAGAGCTGGACTGGAAGAGGAGCAGCCGGGATGCTGGCGCCGCAGGCGGAGGATTAACCTAGTGCTCCATGGCGCTGGCCCTTGAGGAATCTTCTTAGTTGATATCAAATTTGTCTATTTGGGCTTTCTTACCTAAACTTGTGGGATCTTATCTAAAAGCATTGTGTTTGTCAGTGTCTTACAGTTTCCTGTCAGTTTTGTTATATTTAGGTCTTACATTTACATGTTTGGCTTACTTTGATTTGATTTTTGTGTAGGGTAAGGTGTGTGGAGGAAGTCTAGTTTTAGTCTTCTGCATATGGATGTCCAGTTTCCTTAGGAACATTTAGTGAAGAGATTGTCCTTTCTGTGTTGTATTTTTGAAGGCATTGTAAAGATCAGTTTTCCTGTAGATGTGTGCATTCCTTTATGGAACCTCTGTTCTGTTTCATTAGTCCGTGTCTGGTTTTATGCCAGTAGTTACAATACCTCTGTACTATGTCTTGAATTCAGATACTGTGACTTGTTCTGTTCCTGAAGGTTGGGGACTTTACAATTCCATATAAATTTTAGGTTTATTTTTTCTAGTTCTGTGAAGAATTTCATTTGTGTTTTGATGCTAGTTGTGTTGAATGTAAAAATTATTTTGTGTGGCATGGAAACTTTATAAATTCTCCCAATTCATGAACATGGGGGTCTCTCTGTCTTTTTTGTCTTCAATTCCTTTCATTAATGTTTTGTGATTTTTCTTCTAGAGGTTTTTCATATCATGGGTTAAATTTATTTTAATGCTTTTATTTTCTTGTAGCTATTGTGATTTGATTACTCTTATAATTTCTCAGTGAATACAAAATTGACATATAAAAGTGCTCCTGATTCTTTTGTGTTCATTTTGTATCTGCAGTATTGCTGAATTTGTCAGTTCTAGCAGTCTCTTGATTGAATCATTAGGTTTCTCCATGTGGAAACAAATAATTTTAATTATTTTTTCCCTATTTGTATGCCTATTTTCTTCACTTGACTATTTTTTTGGTGAAACTTTACAGTGTGATATTAATGACAACATTGACACTGAGCATCCTTGTCTGATTCCATATCTTAAAGGAAATGCTTTAAGCTTCTTATTGCCATTCAGTAGAATGGGTATTTGTCATTTATATGCTTTACTGAATTTAGATATACCCCTTCTATACATATGCTGCTCACAGTTTTGCTCATAAATCAATTTTAATTTCATTGAATACTTTTCTACATCCATTGAGATGATTATAATGGTTTTGATCCTTCATCCTATTGATATGAACATTTGGTTTGTTGTTTTGTATATTTGACTTATTCCCTACATTCCCCAGGATATAAAGAACTTGATCATGGTATGTAAGCTTTTTAGTGTGTTACTGAATTTTGTCTGCTACTGTTATGAGAAATTTTATATCTGTATTGATCAGGTATGCTGGTATATCACTTTTTTTTATTTGAAAGAGTCAAAGATAGGTCTTCTATCTGCTGATTTCCTCTGGTTTTGGAGTCGAGGCAGTGCTGGCTTCATAGGATGAGTTTTACTTGAGATACTTAACAGTTTTTCACATTTATCATCATATTTGTTGTCAACACATGTGCTGAAATTTCCAGTTTATCAAATATGGGGTCACCATTACAGGATTTTTTAAAAAGATTTATTTATTTATTTGACAGTTACAGAGAGGCAGAGGCAGAGAGAAAAGAGAAGTCTTCTGTATGGTGGTTCACTCCCAAAATGGCTGCAACATGCAGGAGCCAAGAACTTCTGGATCTCCCACTCAGGTGCAGGGGCGCAAGGAATTGGGCCGTCTTCTACTGCTTTCCTAGGCCATAGCAGAGAGCTGGGTTGGAAGTGGAGCAGCTGGGACTCAAACCAGCACCCATATGGGATGCCAGTACTGCAGCTGGTGGCTTTACCTGCTACACCACAGTGTCAGCCCTGATTATAGGATTTAAAATAAAAAACTATACAATATAATGACACAGGTCATCTTAACATTTGCAGTGCCTCCAAGACACATAAGTAATAGTGTAATTCATTTGTAAGAGATTGTTACTGATTTTTTTAGCTAATGTCATTACTACATGGTAATTATGAACATAATTAATAATTCACTGAACATGCAAGTATTAAAGTTTATTTCCGAGAGGGAATTCTGACGTGACAGTGTGAGCATGTATATGCTCTTTGCAGTAGAATTGATTAGAAATATTTTAAAACAGAATTCTTGTAAAGTTTCTAGAAATGGCCCTAAGTACATATGGCAGATAAAAAAATATTAACGGTATGGGGCCAGCGCTGTGGCATAGCAGGTAAAGCCACAGCCTACAGTGCTGGCATCCCATATGGGCGCCAGTTTGAAACCCAGATGCTCTACTTCTAATCCAACTCTCTGCTATGGTCTGGGAAAGCAGTACAAATGGTCCAAGTCCTTGGTCCCCTGCACCCACCTGGGAGACCCAGAAGAAGCTCCTGGCTCCTGGCTTTGGATTGGCGTAACCCCAGCTGTTGCGGACATCTGGAGAGTGAACCATCGGATGGAAGACTTTCTCTCTCTCTGCCTCTCCTCTCTCTATGTAACTGTGAATTTCAAGTAAAAATAAATGAATCTTTAAAAAAATTAACTGTAGGTAATCTAAGACTTTGGAAGAGCAGGGAGACTCAGTTCTATTTGAATCCACATGTGATTCTTCCTCCCCTGTGCAACTGAGAAAACAGGGCTCCCCTTGCTGCCTGCTGCATTTGGCTGGAAAGACATCCTCGTTTCTTGTCTCTAGTTATCTGGTACCAGAAATATGTTCTGGTGAATACTACTAAGAGGCCCAGATTACCCTTGAGTGACAGAAGCTTTATACTGGGTGTGAGAACACTTGGACCCTATCTTGCATTACATGCAACATCCATGGTGGACAGATGTATAGGAAAAGCACATTTGTGGTTGCTTTGGGTTGGAAGTATTGGAAATATGGAGGAAACAGCATAAGAATACTGAGTTTCCTTTTGTATATGTATTTTTAGATGCAAGAACAAAGATGAAGAAGGGAGACAGAGCACCTCTTTATTTTAGTTCACTTCAGGTGAGGCTGTACTGAGTAAAAACTGCTGAAGCAGGCATGGTAGCACAGTTGGATAAGCCATTGATTGTGGTGCCCACATCCCCGTCAAAGGGTCAGTTCAGGTCCTTGCTACTGTGCTTCGAATTCAGCTTTCTGTTAATGTGCATGAAAGGCCACAGATGATATTCCATACTTGGGTTTCTGCTGTGCATATGGGAGACCTGGATGGAATTCCTTAATCGTGATTTTGGCCTGACCCAGTTCTAAATGTTATGGACATTCGGGGAGTGAACCAGAAGATGAATTCTCTTATCTCTGCAGTTCAAATTAATTAATCAGTTTTTTAAAACTTACAAAGCTGGGAGCTGGGAACTCACCTAGGTCTCCAATATGTCTCACATTTTCTGATTCACTTGAGACCCTGCCTTTTGGATGGTGTGGTTCCGGGGTGGGCGTTAGCAGGAAAGTGGAATCAAATCTGTTGTGTAGCTGGGACTCCAACTCGAGCAGTCTTGGATGTCTTAATCCCAAGCAGCATCTTAACCTCTAGGGCTGCCTCACCTTTTTTCTTTGAGGTAATAAAAAGTGCTCTGAAATTGACTGGTGATGATCACATATAACTGAAAAAACAATGAATTCTATGTGTACTTTTCTTTAAAAAAAGATGTATGTATTTGAAAGGCAAGGTTGCAGAGAGATAGGGAAGAAACAGACTGAGGTTTTCCATCTGCTGCTTCACTCGCCCAAATGCCTGCAGTAGTCAGGAGCTGCAACTCCATCTGCATTTCCCAAGTGGCAGGGGCCCAACCACTTGAACCATCTTCTGCTGCTTTCCCAGGCATCTTAGCAGGGAGCTGGTTAAGAAGTGGAGCAGCCAGACTCACAACTGTGCCCATATGGGAAGCCAGCATTGTGGGGGATGGCTTAACCCACTGCACCACAACACCATTCCCTGTATGTGTACTCGTAATGAATGAATTGCATAATACATGATTTATATTAATATCAGTTCTGCTTATTCATTGAATTCATGAATTCATACCTATTCAATGAACACATGCATTCATTCATGTCAGTTGTGCTACTTAAGAAAATATGATTTCTGACAAATTATAAATATGCTACATTGAATTTTTCACACTTATATGCGGTAGTTCATGTTGTAATATTAAAAGTCAAATCCTTATCTGAGATCTGCTCATACCAAGGTGGATCAATGATGAAAATAGCCAAATCTAGCATCAGAAGACCTTCTAGTCTTACCTCATGCATGATCTCCATTGTTCTGAGAAGCAAAACTATCATTATTTAAAACAGTATGGGCGTTACATCTGGGGTTTGTGTGTGTGTGTGTGTGTGTGTGTATGTATGTATGTATGCATGTGTCTATAAAGATGGCAGTGGATAACTGAAGACTAGATGGATGAAATGTGTGTGTGTGTGTAAGTGTGAGAGAGACGGAGAGAGAGGCTAATCTTTTCTTAGCAATGATGAAAAGGTTTTACAAGTGACTTTTATAACTATGAGGTTTTCTACACTTGACCTGAGCTCAGAAAAAAAAAGTCAAATCCACATAAATATGATTTTCCTCTGCAGTCTGCATTGCATATTTATATATTGATATTTATATAAATGCAAGAATAAGTGGTCTAGCAATTAAACTGGGTGTATGACAATGATTATTAATTCAGGATCATGGTATTGTGAGGAAAGATATTAATCTTATCTGTATGTCTTTTTAAAAATATGATGTAAATTAATACAAAACAAAATATGGCCAGGCACTGGAGTTTCCTGACTAAATATTTTTACTTGGGATGAATCAGAAATGATCAAACTTAGGTGCTACCATTGTTGTAGAGTAGTTTAAGGCACTGCTTGTGATTGCTGGCATTTCATATTGGAGGGCTGGTTGGAGGCCTGGCTACTCTGCTCCTGAACCAGATTCCAGCTAATGTGCCTGGGAAGGCAGTGGAAGATGGCACAAATACCTGGGTCCCTGACACCTAAGTAAAAGAACCCAGATAGGGATCCTCACTACTGGCTTTGTCCTGGATACACACCTGGCTGTTGCCTCTATTTGGCGATTAGACAAGCAGAAGAAAAATATCTCTGTCTCTCTCTCACTCTCTCTCTTGCTTCCAAATAAATAAGTCAGTCTTAGGAAAAAATAAAAGACTAACCTCATGTCATAATCCTTGTGGGAGTCTTTTTCCATTCTCTGGCCATCACCTCCTTTATCTTTACCACAGGGACTATTCCTCAGCATTCAGTACAAATTAATCACTAGAACTCCTGTCACTGATTGAACACAAAATTCGGGGCTCCAATCATTACATGGAAGTTACACCTAAGAGACAGAAAAATGGGTTGCTTACTACTCCTTAATTATCAGTGAGTATGGGCTTGTTACTTTTTCTCGGTCAGGACTCCTCTTCGATCCCATATCTCTAGTCCCTGTAGGAACAGCTTCTGCTAGTAGAGGTACATGTTAACAAGAGGGGACAATTCCTGAGAAAGGACATGAGGACCTACTACTTCATGGTGCCAAGTTAGGTCATCGATCCCTGTAAGTTCATTTTTCATTTCTAGTAATAAGGCATTGATACTTAACATTTCAGGCACGATTACCTCAAGGGTACCTAGCCTTGGAAGCTCAAGACTGAGGTTCCTGCATTATAAGACTTTGGAAGTTTTGTATTTGCACAATGATGTACCCATCTTAAAATCCATAATTTTATTTCAGTATATGCACTAGAAGAGTTCTCCTAGTTGTCCCTGGATACATTACCAAGCATTTTAACAGATGAGAGCAAGCATCTTTTTAGAGGGATAGGCCTGAGTTGCAGTAGCAATATTAACTTCTTATTCAAATATCTTTAGTAGAATCATTTTTGCTTTCTTCATGGTTTAAGCAAGCATCTGTAACACATAGATACATGTTCTTAATTATCAGCTAAAATTGAAAATAAATGTGGTGATAGTTATCCAACACTGTGCCCACATTGAAATTTCTCTAATAGCACATCTCATAGATGTGAGTTTGTCAAACCAAGAATTAATGTTAGTATTCCACATGAATGGAGATGAAGTCAGATGCACCATGTCTGACAGCATGGCTGAACACCTAAGAATTACACAGGTCATTCTTATTTCCTAATGGAGGGGTGCAGAGGCTTGTGTGAAAATCATCTTCCTGTGCCATGACCACCACCACAGAGCCAAGGAAAGGTTTTTCAGGTTTCTTCTGAGCATGGTGAGTGAGCATCCTGCCCACTCCTGCCTTCTCAGGAATTCCAGGCCCTGCAGCTATCCTGTTGCTCCATGGGTTCTATTCTGCATTCCTGAAGGATAGTTCCTGGGGGAAAGATGGGGCCTCACAGGCAGCAGTGACTCCTTGGGAGTGGGTGGGATGTATGTTCTCCACTTGTTGAGAACAGAAACATCGTGGTTCTCAGGTGGGTGAGTCCTGACATTCAGGTGTAAGCCGCAGGCCCTGGTCTGTTGGGGAGGACACACTGGCAAAGAATTCTCAGATCTGGAATCAGGGAAGGTCCACCATGGCTTGTGTTTCAGGTGATTATATTGTCAGAAGCCAAGGGTGGTCTTTCAGATGTGCAGGCACTGAGTCCAGAAGCTTCACAAATGAAGTGGTTAGTCCAAGATTGCAATGAGGCAAGGGGAGTCTGTGTATTTCATGAGCAAGGAGGTGTGTGGTATGAGTCTAGTTTGAACTCAGCCACTGTAGGTCCTGTTACTGACCTGTATGACATGGGTTTATCCATCTGTAGCATAGAGGCATCCACAGTACCCAGTTAATGCCCCACATTCCAGCAAAATAAGTTGAAGTGTATGCATCCTCTCTTACTATGGAATAGTTGTACTTTGGGGTTTTATGGTGCCTCCTCAGAACTGAGCCTTTTGTTGCTTCCTGTGTGTAGCCTGCTCACTATCCTGCTTTAAGTTTGTAGAAGTTTGTACACAATCTAGTTTTCAAAGAAAATGGGTTCTAAGAGGGAGATGAGTGTACTGGACAATGGTTCTGTCTTCCTAACAAAGCAGTTTATGCTGAATGAAGACTTGGACTGCATGAATAGGAATCCACCAGAAGGAACAGCTCCTCTGGCCCAAACTCTGTCTAGTGCTTCACAGTAGAGGCAAAGGAGTCCCAGAAAGGTGAACACCCTAGCTTTGCATGGCCCAGCAATTACTGATTCTACTGCACAGAAGGATCAAGATTTGAGTAACGCTACCTCACTTCATCTATAATCTATCAAAGAATGGATGGTGTGGGAAGTTTTCTGTGAACTGTAAGAAGGGAGATGTGAGTTGAGAGGGATAGGCAAGGGCCTGGGAAATGTTACCTTTTAGATTGTTCTTATAGGTAAGTCCTATATATGCCGCAGTGCTGGCCCCACCACCAAGTATTTTTAAGTGCTGATTTTAGTGATAGCAAAATGTTTCTTCCCATGGTATATTGCAGTTTAACAATCATTTTTTTTTTTTGCAATAACATTATGGAATCAGTAGCAAATAAATGTTTTCAATATCTTAGTGATAATGTGTGTGTAGTTTCTGCCAATTAGTAGAATTGGGAGTGCTCTTTCAAGGAGGTCTTTACTGCCCCTTTTCATTCATTAAGTGCTATTCCTGCACAGAGAGGCTGATAATTTTTGTTTCCCCACCTAATGTGTCTGTTAGTCTGCATTTATCTCTGTCATGATCTGGCTTAGCACAGTAGGATCTGGGAGCAAGCCAGACCAGGTCTCTTACAACTCTTTGCATTCATCTTCTGTTCCAGGGATAATTCTACGGACTGCTTCGTGTTTCCAAAAGCAAAGAAAATGAATACACCTTCAGTAAGTTGTTTACTTACTTATTCCTCAGCTTATTTTACATTGTATTTTACAAGGTGTATGGGGGTTTGTTAATTAAAACAGAAGAGTAAAAGTAATTATAATTCAGAGAATATAGTAGTTTTCATGGTTATAAGACATTAGAGCCATCGAAGCTGATTTGAATTTGGTCTCTGATCTTTCTGATGCCATAATGAAAAGATAATACATGTTTCAAATTGAGACTTAGACTTTGATAAAGTCCTGTAGGATATGGAGTCTGAAATATCATTTATTGGTCATATAGATGATATAGAAGACGTGGTTTAGTACCAACCTGGAAACAAACATTCGGCATTCTATCATGGTAAGAGTTACCCAGAACTAAAACGCAAATCGGCAAATAAAATTTCTCTGGAATTGCTGAAGTAGTGTGATCTTCAGTACCTGCTAGGAGGTGGTGCTAGATTCATAGATTGGACCAGGGATGTGAAGAGGACAAAATCTACTGCATGTTCTTAAACAGTTCTCTGTACTTTTCTCTCAGCCAGTCTGTACATTCAGATTGTGCTTCGGATTTTTCAGAGTTATATTCTCAGGCAAATAACTCCGTTCTTCATTTGGAATTTTCAGTAATCTTATTCAATTCTTTATTTACCAATAATATTTAGTCAAAGAAGACTGTTCTCTAGTGTTTGCCTTACTTGAATTTTTTGCCATTAAAAAATATATATCTTATATATTTTATATATATTATAAAATACATATATTAAATTCTTAAATATATTAATACATAAATTATAACCAATATATTATAATTAATGCATAAATTAATATATAACATATTTTATATATATTTATATATATTTTAGAAGTAGAAAAAGAAGAGGTAGACTAAGAGACAAAAGGTACAGCACTCTTATGCATTGATTCACTCCCCAAGTACCTACAGCAGTCAACACTGATGCCAAGAGCCAGTAACTGAATCTTGGCCTCCCACATGGGTGACAAAAGTCCAATTACTAGAGTCATTGTGACCACCTACCAGCAGCTGCAATAGAAAGAAGCTGGAATCGGGAGCCAGAGCTGAGTACCAAGTCCAGGTATTCTGGCGTAGTTAAGTTATCGTAAATGGCATTCTGAATACTAGGCCAAATGTCTGCCTCCCTTTTAATTTTTTTTCTCTGCCATATTTCAAAATAGTATACATGGTCTTCTCTTGGAAATTTTTTTAAAAATATTTATTCATTCAATTATTTATTTATTTAAAAGACAGATTTACCGAGAGAAAAGGACAGACAGAGAGTGAGAGAGATCTTCTGTCTGCTGGTTCACTCCCCAAATGGCCACCTTGGCCAGGACTGGGCCTGGTGGAAGCCAGGAGCTTCATCTAGGTCTCCAACATGGGTGCAAGGGCCTAAGTACTTTCCCAGGCACAACAGCAGGGAGCTGGATTGGAAATGGAGTAACCAGGAATTAAACTGGCACTTATATGGGATACCAGTGTCACAGGCTGCAGTTTAGTATAGTGTGGCACAAAGCCAGCCCCATCTCCTGAAAATTCATACTCTTTTCCTCTCCTGAGCTCACTGATAGTTTCTTGTCTTTTTCTTTAAATTCCACTTTATCATCTTTATTATCACTCATCTAATATTCCATGTGCTCTCCAAATCATCTCACCTTGAAATTCTCCTTGACAGATTTATCTCTCTGTGGTCTGACACTCCTGTTTTCCTCCAGCTTTGGCCTTTTCTACGGTCTTCAGATCACATTTTCTACTCTCTTGAATACTTCTTTGTAGCTTTCCAAATGGCATCTCAAGCTCAAGAAGCCTAAAATGAAAATCAAAGCATTTCTTTCTTTTTTTTTTTTTTAAGATTTATTTATTTGAAAGTCAGAGTTACACAGAGAGAGAAGGAGAGACAGAAAGAGAGGTCTTCCATCCTCTGGTTCACTCCCCAGTAGGCCTCAATGGTTGGAGCTGGCTAGATCCAAAGCCAGGAGCCAGGAGCTTCTTCCAGGTCTCCCATGCAGATACAGGAGCCCAAGGACTTGGGCCATCTTCTGCTGCTTTCCCAGGCCATAGCAGAGAGCTGGATTGGAAGTGGAGCAGCCAGGTCTTGAACTGGCGCCCATATGGGATGCTGGCACACGTAGCTCAACAATAGTAAGTGTGACATATGCCTTATCAGTCACGGGGAAGAAAGAAACACACGGACACAAGACTGTCTTTTCCAATTTTATTGTTCACACACCGGGGACACACCAGGGGTTTTATATCACACTACTCATCAGTATGCTCATTGGGGTCAATACACTTATCAGTATAAATTATGCTTATCAATCTATACTATTTAATACACTTATCAATAAACTTAACACCACTATTTAATGTGACTTAACTATTTAACTACTTAACTACTTAACCACTTAACTACTTAACCACTTAACCACTTAACTATTTAACTTAGCTACTTAACTACTTAACTTAACCACTTAGCTTAATACATCTATCCAATCTTAACAATATCACTTATCTGCCAGAAAATCAATATTATTATACCACAAGTCACAAGAAACACTTTCAAAATAATCTTAAGTACTATCACAATGAACAATACAAGGACAGCAAAAGATTCAATACACAACATTGGCTTGTTATGCATCTAGGCTTGCATCACTGTCAAGAATGTGTTTCTCCTGCGGGGAGTGTCCAGTGTCCAGAGTTCAATGTCCCAGCAGGGACGGAACTCAGACCAGTCACTTACAGGCAGGAAGTCGTGGGAAGGTTATCACTCTGGGCAGTAGGCTCAAAGTTCCCAGGCGGACGGCAAGGCGAAAAGTTGGAGAGGTCTCCTGCTGAGAGGCCTAGTCGGGCTCTGCGGTCAACTCTGGCAGCAGGCTGATAAGGACTCCAGGCGAGGTGGTGAGGCGGCAGCTCAGCTGGTCAGACATGGCGGCAGCAACACAGCAGCTCCACTGGCCTCTTGATCCTGTCATCGCCTTGTGCCGCATAGCAAAAGCTAGCAGGCTGGCTCTTCAACTCCAAGTGCGAGGAGATCCAGAGGTTCGCTCGCACTGGACCACACACACACACACACACACTCACACAGACAGTGGGATATTACAGCTCAGGGACAGATCTGCAGGTCAGCTTGTGCCGCTACCTGCTCCACACAGAGTAGCGGGCTGCCTCTTCAGCTCCGGATGTGTGAAGATCCAGAGGTTCACACACGCCAGGCCCTTTACTCAGATGCAAGGCTGAAAGTGTTACAGCAACTTTTATTAGACAGGAACAAGACCGGAACGGGGCAGCTCACGCAGCTAAAGCCGCTCAGGAACAGCAGCTAAGGCCGCTCAGGAACAGGTGCAGCTCCGAGAGCTGTGGCTGGAACAGGTCAGGAATGGGTCAGGATCTCTTCAGTGACAGCTCAGTGACAGCTCGGCTCAGCTCTGCTTTTCTTTCTTCCACTCCCGGTGGTTTACATGCATCAGGCCATGATCCCCGAAAGGATGGAGAGCAGTGCCAGGGCTCCCCTTTTATCCTCATATTTTGGCAGTCCTCCAATTTGCCATTATACAACTTGTCTAATTTTTATTGGTTCTTACTTATGTTTGAACGGTCCAGTCAGCATAGGTTGGAGGGTATTGTCCGTAGCGCACTGTTATTTGACTGACCAGAGATGTCTGCTTGGTATGATTAGGAGCGTCTCCCTAACAGCTATTAGGCATTGCCTCAGCTCCTGACTTACAACTCCACTTTACTTTTATTTTTGTGGCTAGTGGTACTTCTTAACTCAATGTTTTACTGTGTTTCCACAGTTCATCTCCTTTTCAGGTAAGCGGTGATCTGTGACTCTTTTTGAGATTCCTGTAGAATTCTCCACAGTCAACCCCCTAGGCTCTCGATGTCTCTCCCGAGTGAGAGGCATCGTGAGGCTCAAGAGGGAGCAATCCCCAGTCATTCTGGTGGCCTCTAAGGTCCACACCGCTTCACCTTTATTTACTAGGAGAGACAATTCTTGAGCTATAGTGATCCCCTTGCTGGGAATCTAAACCACATTTCCACAATTTCAGTAAAATGGAAGATAAACATATCCTGTATTCTTTAGACATCTCCATGAGTTCATCTTAATCACGTCCTTACTGCCCATTGCTGATATATTGTAAAAGGTCCAATCCTCCTTCCAGACTGCGGAGTTCTTTTAGTCATAACAGTCTGTAACTTTACACTTAACAGTCTATAGCTTAACGATCTATGTTCTAACCTTTCCATTATACCTACTATGACAACACAAGCTTAACACCTTTATACCTGTGTAACGTGGTAACCAGTGTAACCAGTTAACCTTGACCCACATTACCAAAATGGGTTTTTTCCCTGGACATCTCCCTTTCTCTCATGTCTAGTTTCATCATACATGAAAACCTGTTAAATCTATTTCCTTATTTTTAAATCCTTATTCTAATGCCTACATGCAGCGTGTAAAAATAAGAATAGCTGCTATTCATTAAAAACAAAAAATTCTTTTTTTATATTGAAAATGTTATTCTTGTCAATAATTGGAATTAATGTATTGGCTCAGTGATAAACTTTGATCCCTCCTGAGGTATGATGGCACAAAGGATTTGGTGGGAGAAAACATTCAGGAGTTAGAGAGTTACATGTGAACCAGTGTCAAGACAAACATAAAGAACTGAAAGGGAACACATCTTTATTTAATAATTTTTACCCTGTGAGCCTCTTCAGGGGTTGGCCTTTGGCACAAAAGATTAAGTTGCCACTTGGGATGCTCACATCCCATATTGTCTGATTTGGGTTCCTAATACTCTGCTTCTCATTCATCTTCCTGTTAATGTGCTTCCTGGAAAGCAACAAATGATGGCCAAAGTGCTTTAATTTCTGCTAGCCACATAGGAGACCTAATCAAAATCCAGTCTCCTGGTTTTGGCCTGACTCAGCTCTGGCTAAAAGTGAGCATTTGTGGAGTAAACCAGATGGAAGATCTTTGTGTCTCCCTCTT